ATGAAGAGCATGTAGATGAAGAGCATGTAGGTGAAGAGCATGTGGGTGAAGAGCATGTGGGTGAAGAGCATGTAGATGAAGAGTATGTAGATGAAGAGTATGTGCATGAAGAGTATGTGCATGAAGAGCATGTGGATGAAGAGCATGTGCATGAAGAGTATGTTGATGAAGAGTATGTTGATGAAGAGTATGATGATGGGCGGGTGGAGGAACCGAGCATGGTGGAGCAGTGAGGGGGCGGGGTTAATTAGGGGGCGGGGTTAATTTAAAGAAGTTTGTAATGAAAAGCAGCAGATTAACTGAGTGTTTAATTAAGATAAAGACTAAATGAAGCATTGTTCTGTCACCGCCTGATTACACACACACACACACACACACACTCTCTCACACACAGAGTCACACACACACACACACTTTTAATACACGCATTCTCACACACACACACACACACTGTTTGTTTGGCAGTATTTTAACACTAACTGATCATTGAAGTGAAGTAGTTCAGTGTTAAAGAGGCTCAGAATGTGTGTGTGTGTGTGTATGTGTGTGTGTGTGTGTGCGCACACTGTGAAGTGTAACTGAGCTCTGATTAGAATAAACACTGTTTAATACTCACACACACACACACTGTGTATTTCTGTTACTTTGTAGTCGAGTTTCAAACCAAAGTCAGTTCACTTTTGAGCTGAGTTTCCATAAAACATGTAAGTCATCATGTAAAAGATGTAATAATTTAGATGTAATAAAAGCTCCTAATATATTGTAGAAAACCATGAGCACATAATGTAATGTTCAACAGTTTATGTTTAACTTATGACATTATGTGAAAAATATTGCATTACATTATAAAATTGTAAAAACAGGTTGAATTATGTAATAAATTCAGTGCATTACGTTATCATCTGCAATTTAAAATAAAGCTTTTTCTTTTGTGAAGTACAGAAATCCTTCTAAAAACAACCAGAAACACAATATGGACTTGTATTAATATATAATTATTATCAATCAATCAAATCAAAATGTATTTGTATAGCACATTTTAAAATACATCAAAGGTTGCCCAAAGTGCTGCACATACAGTAGATACACAGTCATACAAACAAAGACTGGATCAATAACGGTGAAAGGTGATGGCAGGATAAATAAATAGAATGTTAAACGTTGGTAAGGTGGACGACAACCCAACATGAAGGGAAGGTTGTTCCAGAGCTGAGGGGCAGCAACAGAGAAGGACCGGGCGGCCCGGGTTGTCATTGTTGTTTTCGGAACAACTAAAAGCTGTTGGCCGAGAGATGTTAGTGAGCGAGGTGGGGATAGGGCTGCAGCAGGTCAGACAGATTATAATTATTCATATTATCAGCAGGAACATCTCTGTGAACAAGTTTAAAAGTCAGTGACAGCTGGTTCCCATCATCCACCTGCTGACACGAAGACGTCCTGCATTAAACCAAACAAATCATCTGCATCTGTATCAGAGTATTTCTTCTCTTTATGTGTTCACCTCCTCTCTCCTCCTGTTGCAGGAGGTGCTGTTGAAGAGGGCAGCTGACCTGGTGGAGGCGCTGTATGGGATGCCCCACAACAACCAGGTTGGTCTGATCCTGCACACCTGTCCCCCTGTCCACCAGGCCACATGTCCACCTGTATACTTGCACACATGTCAACATGTCCCCCTGTCCACCTGTATACCTGCACACATGTCCACCTGTCCGCATGTCCCCCTGTCCACGTGTCCAGATGTCCACCTGTCGACATGTCCACATCCTCCTCATGTCTGATGGTCTGTGAATATTTCTTTATCAAACGTACACAGTTTCTTTATCAAACGTACACAGTTTCTTTATCAAACGTACACGTACAAAGTCAGTTCTTTCGACTGACTTTAGAAAAAGTTTCTGTTTATTCTGTTGTAAAGAAGCACAAATTTCCCATGATGCTCAGCGAGGCTCCTCCTGCAGTTTTACGACTGAAACACCCAACCACTTAATATTCACTCTGTCCTTCTCCACACTCTCCGACACGCTTCTCAACACACGGCTAATCACAGCACACACACACACACACACACACACATACACACACACACTCTCACATTCACACACACACACACACATTCACACACACACACACACACTCACTCACTCAGGTCTCTGTAAGTGAAAGAGTAACCTTGAACAGGTTGTAAACGAATGTTAATTCAACTGTTGTAATAATCATAACAACATCAGTGTGTGTGTGTGTGTGTGTGTGTGTGTATGTTTAAGGTCAGATGCTGTATATGTGTGTGAGAACATGTTTTCAATGAGAAAAGAGTGAGAATATAACGATGGGCCTTCCTGTTAATTCCAGCTTGTTCTAGGATGCTTTTATTGTGAAAGTCTGAAACAGAATCTAAGCTTCCAGTTTATTTATTCCTTTCTTCTTCTTCTTCTGTTGCTCAGAGGATCTTTGTTCTCGTAGAACATCTGTTAGTGAAGGCACTTTGTAAACTTAGAGGGACTCGTCCACTGAGATACCTGAAGTACTTCTTGTTCTACAGGAGATCATCCTGAAGCGAGCGGCCGACATCGCCGAAGCTCTCTACAGCGTTCCCAGGAACCACAACCAGATCCCGTCGCTAGGCAACAGCACCTCCCACGGCATGATGGGAGTGAACTCCTTCAGTGGACAGCTGGCCGTCAACGTCTCTGACACTACACAAGGTACGAGCTCCAGGACCAGTACTACCAGTACTAGTGCTACTGCAGCATCATTAAACCTGTGATGATGTCGTCCTCTTCCAGTCGGTTACAATCGGAACACCAGCAGCGTGTCGCCGCGAGGATACGTCCCAAGCTCCACCCCCCAACAAAGTAACTATGGCAACACCGTCAGCAACAGCATGAACGGCTACAGCAACACTGGCATGCCAAACTTAGGAGTAGCAACGTCCCCCGGCTTCCTCAACGGGTCATCTGCCAACTCTCCCTACGGCAGTAAGTATCAAGGTAAATACAACCAGTACTATTACTATTACCACTACTACTGATCTGGTTAGTGATCTGGTTTCTGTCCTTTTCCAGTTGTCCCCTCCAGTCCCACCATGGCCGTGTCAAACTGTAACTCCTCTCACGGAGTTTTCTCCTTCTCAACTGCCGTCAAACAGAAGAGCGCCTTCGCTCCCGTTGTCCGACCGCCGGCTTCACCTCCTCCAAACTGCTCCGGAAACAACTCCAACGGGCTGCAAGGTGACACTGCACCTCCTCCTTACTCATTCTACTTCTTCACCTCCTCCTCATTGTAGACTACAAGGCCGTGTGCACACAGAAATGTAGTCTACAGGGCCGTGTCACACAGAAATGTAGTCTACAGGGCCGTGTCACGTGTAGACTACCTGTTAGTTATTCGTGTACACCTCCATTTTTAAAACACTGCAGTTTAAACTCACTTAATAGATTAATATATGAATATACAAAATATTATCAGCATTTACTTTCACAGGTTTATTTGAAGTAAAAGCAGAATAAATGTAATCTCTTTTTCATCTCAAATCTTTATTAATACAGTGGAGTGTTTACAGTAAATAAGTGCTGTTATACTTTGTGTTATTGAATGAATGAGGTTTAAATGATCAGCTCTGCTTTCTTTTTAACAGCCTCACACACACAAATACACACACACACACACACACACTTGAGTAGTGTTAGTATTGCATGGAGAGTGACAGGCCAATCCATGTTTTATTCACTACAACCCACAGATACATCCTCTAAACACACACACACACACACTCAGCAGTCAGTGTGATGTCAGTGTTTCTGACAGAGAGGTTTGTCGAGTGTTAAATATTCATGCCGCTCTCCTCCTTCGCCGAGGCAGAAAGGCCACAGTGTGTGTGTGTGTGTGTGTGTGTGTGTGTGTGTTGATCCATTTGCAGGCCTTACATCATCACTTCAGATGAATAAATACACTTTGAGTGTTATTAATAGTTGTAGCTGCAAGAAAAGAATAAATTACCAAAAATTCAATATGAAGATAGTTTTACATATTTACCTTCAGAGTAATAATTGCTGCTGTACTTCATCAGTAAAAATACTACAATACTTTCAACAGAAGTCGTTTTTACCACTTGTCTCTGTCTGTCTCTTCAGCGATGTCCGGCCTCGTCGTTCCTCCGATGTAAAACGTCCTCCTCTTTGTTCCTCGTCCCTCTCCTCCCTCTCAGCCACGAGCACCAATCACCTCAGAGGAGGCGAGGCCTCAGGCGGCAGCTGACTAGTCAGGACGAAGTATTGATGCTGTCTGTCCCGGATAAAAAAAAGAAACTGTTGTCTCTAATTGGACGGAGACGAAGATAAAAAGGACTTTTCTGATGTCACACTGTGTGTTTGAGTAAAAGCTGTGAGGTCACACCTGTGAAGTGACATCACAGCAACTGATTGGTCACCTGCTGAAGAGGTGAACACATGAGGAAACTGACAGACAGGAAGCTTCCTGGTCACAAACCCTCCACAACATGTGACTGAATGTCTCAGCCTGCGATTGGTCCTCGTCCTTAAGAAGGAGGACACTTCCTGTTTAGGCAGAAGAGAAGGAGAGAGGTAGAAGGAAACATCCAGTCAGGAATCACAGAGAGTTAGGCTTCCTCCTGAGCAAGCTAGGAAGGAGGAAGCTCACTAGGTCTGGAGCAAGAAGAGTCCAAAGTAGTTGATGGAAACAAAACTAATTCTTATTTCTTGCTCACAACTTTTCAGAAGTGTGCTTTAAAATTAAGTCGACAACTGAATGGAAACACGACTTCAGTGTGAAGGCAGGGAGAATGGAGGAAACTTTGTTAGGGAACAAGGAAGTAGGATACTCCCTACCTAGGAAGCAAAGATGGAGGTTTTCATCTAGGGAATTAGGGATCAGAAGGCTTCCTACGTAGGGCTCAGGATGAGTGAAAGGAAACATGGCAGCTGAACTTGATTGTGATTGGCTCCACTCACTGAGGAATCAAATCCATCAAATGAAAACCTCCTACTGGTTTACCTCTGCTGCTGTCGGCCAATCAGAGTCCAGTATTGTGACCAGACAGGAAGAGCTGATGAAAGATGTGAAAGCTGAATAGTTTGGTGGTTTTAATAGTTTAAAGAGCACAGTGGACAAACAGAAAGAATAATGAATGAAGCTCATATATGTCCACTCACTAGCCCCGCCCCTTCTCCATTCAGTCCCACGCCAGCCTGTCTGTGTTGGTTATTTATTCTTATCTTGTTTTTTTTCACTGTGAAAACACGTCCTGCATCCTGATAGGCTACTGTCACATTCTGTCTTCTTGTTTAGAGTTGTGTTTTTTATTCTAGCTCCTCCTCCCAAGCCCCGCCCTGAGCACTGAATCCCTGCCCGCGTCTCAAAGGCACCATCCCTGTGTTTCCTGTGTGGGTTTTGTGATTTTTGCCAAAGCTGTAGCTGGCTGAATATTTATACGTCACTGTGGTTGATTCCCCTCCCCCCCACACACACACTGTCCGAGGGGAAAGTCTTTTTGTAACATACAGATTATAAATAGTGTATTTATATCTCAGATTTCTTTTGTACAAATGGATGTTGAGTCATGCCGTCTTCATGGGGTTTTAAACGTGTGTGTGTGTGTGTGTGGTGCCACACTGAAAACAAACCATTGTTTTGTATTAAAAAAAGAAAAATGTCTTCACACATTTATAATCTGTCAATCAAAGCTGATCCAGTCGGCTCCACTCGTTTTTAATGTAAACCTTATTTTAATGACTGTTGGCTGTAAAGAAACCAATAAACTCAGCAGGTCGCTCTGAGAACTCTGTCGCTTCTTTCAGGAGAATCACGTCTTTTTATAGAATCTAGAATCTATTTATAATATAAAATAACCTCTGTTTAGCGTTGACTTCCGGAAGTGAAGGTCTCTGAATATAATATCTCTCTATATATATATTTATATAGATTAATATATACTGTATATTCATATATATATATTTTATATTTATATATATGTCTGCATATATATGTATACAGTGTGTGTATATATATATATATATATATATATATATATATATATATATATATATATAATATCTGTTATGTTCTTTAGTGAAACTAATGAGACATTTTAACAACTGGAGACACAGTTCAGTCTTCAAGTCTTCAGCCAAATCAACACTATTCTATTCATGGCTTGAAATCAGTGAGCAGCGATGTATCAAATATAAAAGAAGATCTGTAATTTGAAAAACAGCTGTGTGTTATTTAGCATTACAATGGTTACTTTCATTACATCGGTTTCTTAGCGTTGAATCGGTTACTTAACGTTACATCGGTTACTTAACGTTACATCGGTTTCTTA